CTCTATTTGTATGGCCTTAAGCAAGACACTTTACTTCTTGATCTCAGTAAAATCTCTGTAAAATGAGGGGATTGGTCTAGATCTCTATTGTTCCTTTTAGCCTGAAATAAATGGACCCCGGAGATGGAAAATATGAATCTTCTATTTCAGAAAACAGTGACAGATGCAGAAAAGTAAAAATTTATATGAATATGCCTATAAACAAAAAGAAAGTGAAATAAGCAAGAACTCCAAACATTTCTATATGGTATTAAAATGCCTAGTATAATAAAATTATAAATAATATATACTTTGAAGGATCTTTAATTTCATTAATTTGGGTACTTGCTCCATCCACATAGGATGAAGTGGCATGGAGAAGTTTCAATCACCAGTATGATCAATAGTTCAAGATTTCACGATTTCACTGATGTGGATATTTTTTCCACTGACAAAGATTGCAACCCCTCTTATTCTTCAATAGAAGGTGCTCCTGAGTTGCTATGGCAGGAAAAAAAAAAATTATCCCCTGGTGGCCAACCTTCTGGTGGTAACATTCCTCCCTGCACTTAGCTAGGGAGATGGCAGACATACAGTCTGTCACTGCCAAGCTGTACTTGAAGCCTTTCCAGTTTGAATGAGCCTGCCAGGGCTTTCACTCTGCTGCTATAACTTTTGAGAACTCAAGGTTGCTTCTACATGTAAGAAGACATTGGAGTCATATTTTAGTGGCTAATAGCTTAGAATGGCTAAATGGCTAGTGGTAAAATTTATGAATCAAGAGAATTCTTGTTGTTCCTTTTCTTATTACTATGGCATTTGAATTTGTCAATATATCTATTATCTCATTGGCATGTATGCTTCTTCCACTGGTGCAGATGGCAACTCATCCCTGTCTTCTATATGATTCCTGTAAATACTCCAGAGAGAATCAACTCAACTCACTGGGGGTCTTATTTAAAAAAAAAATTCATGTATACTGTGAAATAGTCATGCTGCCTGTCATCCCTCAATCTTACAACATTACTTTTTCTGGTCATGAATGTCCTTGATCTTTTCTCATGCCACTCAGAATAAATCATTATTAGTAAAATGCTATACCTTTTTTATACTATTCCCCTCTCTCCCCACCACCCCCACCCCACATACTTTAGGAGTGATCTTTGGGTGAATTAAAAATGGATAGTTCTGAGATAGTGGTGTTCTATGATTCACAGCCTTATGTCCTGAGTATAATTTATAGTTTGAAACAGTTGCCTAAGGCTCAGATAAATTAAGTGACTTGCCATTGGTCATAGTAAACCTTGGAAAAGGGACTTGAATCCCACCCCCACTTCCTGACTCCAAGTCCAAGGTTTTATCCACTGCTTCATGCTACTATCAAGAGAATAATCTGCATTAAAAAGATAAGCCTTTGCAGCTTTGAGAAGCTTGGGATCATTGAAAGCACTATTCAATTTCCCAAATGTAAATCCAGCCTACTCCTGTTCAATTTGGAGCCCAAGTCACTGACTCTGATGTGGATATAGACATAGAGCTATATAGACACAAGCATACACATATGCATATATATATATATATATATATATATATATATATATATTTCTTGACATTCAAAGTCACTATATTGATACAGACATCTAATAAAGATTTTGAAATCTCCGTTGGAAAACTACTAAGATCAGGTTAAAGTTCTCTCTTGCTTAGATTAAGTACAGTCTGATTGAAGAACTAGGGTTATATTATAAAATGTTCACATCCTGAGAATTCTTCCAGCTCTGTAATCCTTAATAAAAGTGAGATGGTAACTTAATTATGTCAAGTGACAATAATGAATATGGGACATATTAACACATTATTTGAAGTGGGAGGAATAATATATTAAATTCATTATTTTTTCTTACTTAGGCTAACCCTAGGGAATTGTTAAATAGATAGTTTGCCTTTTATACCTTACCATTTCTTCTTTCTTTTATGCTGCTTCTTCCTTGGCTTTATGAAGGGCTCCATGGTCTGGACTTATCCCTTCCTTCCTCTATTCCTTTATCCCAAAATATTGTTTATCCTGTGCCCCATTCTATCTAAGCATAATGTTATAGTGGGAAGAGAACTGGACTTGGAGTCAGAAGGAGTTGGATTTGAATCTAGCTCTTTCTTAATTTTGTGTCCTTGAACAAGTCACTTAATTCTCTTATACCTTAGTTTCATTTGTAAAAATAAATTAATAATAGGTAACATTTATAGAGAGTTTTAAGATTTGTAGATATAATCAATGAGCCCCAAGGTCCCTTCCAGCTCTAAATCCCACGTTTCTTTGATCTGAAATGAATCCTTACTTAAGTACTACTAATTTCATAGCAAGTCAGTGTAAGAAAAATTTGATGGATGGAAGGAAGAGGGTGGTTAATGAACCTTGAGGATTCCTCACATCCTATCATAAGATGGATGCCTGCTTTAACTCTCCTTAGGGTTGGTTCTGTCCTCTTTCTTGATTCTTCTTGGCTTCTGGACATTGTGGGTACAATGGAGACAACGTATGAAGAACACATGCTATCCAACAGAAGCACCATAGCACAGCAGATAAAAAGCTGCCTTTAGAGTCAGGAATATATGGAACCAAGTCCCTGCCCTGTCACATACTGGCTGTGTGACCCTCTGCAGGTCACTTTACTTCTCAATACTTTAGGCCAGTGGTGTCAAACTCAAATAGAAACAAGGGCTACTAATTTGTACAAAAGGATCTCCTGGGGACTAAATATTAACTTAGTTTTGAAATCTAATGCTACCTATGTTTTATTGTATTTTTATTTATTTTATTTATTATTTCTCAATTACAGTTTAATTTGGTTCCCACTGGCCCATGTTTGACACCTCTGCTTTAGTTAATTCTCTGAGACTTAAAGGAGCAGATATGCTTTCTTCATCTTCGAATTCCATATGGAATTATAGGTCCAGTGGCTAATCTGTCTGTATAATTATTTTTTGTATTTCAGGAATATTGTACATGTTCGATGAATATTAAAAAACAAAACAATTCCCTTGATCCTGCTTACAGAATATCTTGCCCCACCCCGGAGAAAATCTGAGTGAACTACATTTCCCAGAAATCTTTGGGGCCAAATCCAACAGGCCAGGACAATTAGTCCTGGACAGTTAGTTATTCCTAGCAGTGATAGGAGAAAAATAGTTATAGGGCAGAAGGGACAGGTATTTGTTTCTGTTCCTTTCCTTGGTTACCTTTTAGCTTTTTTCTTTTCTTTTTTGCAAGCCAAAGGGGTTAAGTGACTTGCCCAACGCAGCGATTATCATGTGTCTGAAGTGGGATTTGAACTCAGGTCCTCCCGACTCCAAGGCTGGTGCTCTATCCACCGCACCACCTAGCAGCCTGCTTTTAGCTTTTCTAAGCACTTTTGATTTACAGCCTCCACTTTCCCTTACCAACACCCTAAACGAGCCAAATATAATATATTTGAGTATATTTGGTCACATTATTAGTAGTGGCAGTAATAATTCTGAATTCCAGGAGCAGTGGGGGGCACAAATTTCCTTAAATCTCCCCTTTAATCTCCTTTCTAGTTCAATATTTCTCTCCCCCTCCACTTTACCATATTGAATGTAACAATTGGGAAGATAGCCTCAACTAAATTTAAGTTCCTCTTGCCTTTTTTTCTGAAAGGCTGAGGGGCCATTGGGTTAGAGGGAAACATGGCAATGGTTTGAACAAGAATTCCATACCTTTTCCCCCCACCTTCATCCACACTCCTCTTCCTCACCTCACAAGTGAGGGAAATGAAAAAGAAAAATGGTAAAAGGAAGCACTCCACAACATAGCATGGCTACCAAAAAAAAGGTCAGGATGCATTTTAAGGATTCTATTAAAAAAAACCGTTGGAATGGGAGTCTGTCATCTTTTTACCCCAATAAGCAAACATCTGAAAGGAGTTAATGAAGTGGTGTACCACTGTACAGTGACCGAAACATGCATGAAGAGAAACCGATTTCCTGGGGAATCCTCAAAATGCTGATCTCATTCTGTGACCGTCACAGTTCTGTACTTTGGCTTCCCTTGGACTCAGTTTCTTCATTTGTAAAATGAAGGGGTTGGGCTTCTAAGGTTCCTTCCAGTTTTGAGGCCTATGATTTTATAAGCTTGGAGATAGCAACCATTTTTGGGGTACCCCAGTTCTACTTGCTTGGGGTCTCGGGAGATGGGTGGGGATGAGGTGCTTTAATTTTAAGAGTCCTTTCTAACTCACTACTCCATTCTACATACACGAAGACACAAGGAGATAAAGTCGAGCCCCAAAATAAATTAAAAAACCCCCAACAAGCCATCCGCATCTAATAGATACAAATATTAAGAGGTTAAGGTAGAGCCTCTCTTAGCGAAGACCCCCTAACCAAAAGCTTGGTCAAGCTGCTGAGATGCAGGAGAAGCCACTCGGGATTGGAGGCAGGAGAAATCTGGCCATTGTCTGGGATTTAGCAGAAGATAATTTAAGATTAGAGCTCTCTAAGGGGGAGGGGGGAGGCGGTTGTGGCTGCGCATGCTCAGCAGCTCCGCTCCCCGGCCGTCCAGCTGGGGCTGCCGCGGCGGCCGCAGTTAACTGTGGTTACTGCTCCTCCTCCGGGTGTTGGTGCCGTGTGCGGAGAGAGAGTCGCGTAGCCAGCCGGGGCTGGGAGAAGCAGGAAGGCAGCCAGGCAGCCGACGGGAGGCGTTCTCCCGCCCGCCTGCCTGCCTGCCGGGCCAGCCAGCTGAGCGAGCCGCGAGGAGTAGGCTGAGGGAAGTGCCAGGACTGGCGATTCGATTCGGGTCGGGTCAGGAAGGCAGAGCTGCTGCGAGCGGCCCCCGCTCCGACACTGACACTGACACCCGCACACGCCTAAAGTGAGGAGGAACTGCCGGAGACGCTGCGGGGGAGGGGGGCGGGGGCCCGGAGGGAGGGGCGGGGAGAGAGCGGCGCAGCTGCGGCGGCGGCGCCAGTCTGATCCTGAGCCGGAGCGGCGGGGGGCCGGGAGAAGGGAAGACAGGCCGGCGGGGCTCGGCCATGGACTCGGCGGCGGCTGCTCGTGCGGCCGCCGCGACGGATAAGCGAATGGTGAGAAGAGGCGGCGCGGTCGGGAGCCACTTCGCCACTAGGTGAAGGGGAAGGTGGGGAGAGACTGCCGGAGACAGAGGAAGAGGAGAGCCTGAGAGAGGAGCCTACGGGCGGGCGGGCTCGGCTGCCACCCGGGCGCTGCTGTTGCTGTTGCCGCTGCTGCCTCCCAGCGGAGGGGAGGAGAAGGAGGCGGCGGCGGCTCGGGCACCGGCAGCCGACGCACAGCAGTCGGGGAGCCCGCTGGAAGGGGCGAGCCGGGTCTCTGTCTGTCCGTCTGTGTGTCCGTCTGGGCGCGGCGGCCGAGCTGCCCTCTCGGGAGTTTCCCGTCGTCGCGGGATTTCCTGCTGGGATATTCACCCCCTCCTCCCTCCCTCCCTCCTTCCTTCCTTCCTCTCCCTGCTTCTCCCACATTCCCTCCTCCTCCTCTTCCTCGGTGTTCTTGTCTCTCTGACCATCCTGTCAAAACTGCCGCCCGAGCCCGCCCTCCCCCCTCCCTCGGTCCACGTCCACGGGGGACGTCGCTCGCTGCGCTCCCTCTGAGCCTCTAGCTAGGGGGCCGCGGAGGCGCTGGGGGGGGGGAGGCCGCGGCCGGCACGGAAGGAGGAGGACGAGGAAGAAGCAGCAGCAGAAGGCAGGGAAAAAGGGAGCGCCCCGGGAGACCATGAAGAAATTCAACATCAGGAAGGTGCTGGACGGCTTGACAGCCGGCTCGTCGTCGTTGTCGTCGTCCTCTCAGCAGCAGCAGCAGCAACAGCAGCAGCAGCCGCAGCCCGGGAGCCGGGAGAACGAAGTGCAGGAGACGCTCCAGTCCGAGCACTTCCAGCTCTGCAAGGTGACCGACTCGAGGGGGCGGCCCGCGCGTGGCTATTGCGAGAAATGGGAGGCTTGGGCACGGATCTGGGCTTTCAAGTGGGGAGCCCCAACAGTCCCTAGATACTATCTCTCTCTCTCCCTTTCCGTCCCTCCTTCTCTCTCTCTCTCTCTCTCTCTCTCTCTCTCTCTCTCTCTCTCTCTCTCTCTCTCTCTCTCTCCTCCTCCCTCCTCCTCCTCCCTCCCCCGTCTCTCCCTCCCTCCCCCCGTCTCTCCCTCCCTCCCCCGTCTCCCTCTCCCCTCTGCCCCCACCCCTCCTCCTCTCACTCTTCCTCTCTCCCCTCCCTCTCTCCCCTCTCTCCCTCTTTCCCCCTTTCCCCTTCTCTTCTCTCTTCTCCTCCCTCCCTCTCTCTCTCTCTCTCTCTCTCTCTCTCTCTCTCTCTCTCTCTCTCTCTCTCTCTCTCTCTCTCTCCCTCTCCCTCTCTTCTCTTCTCCTTTCTTCTTCCCTCTCTCTCTCTCCCCTCTCTCTCTCTCCTCCCCTCCCGCCCCCCCCCCCCGGCTCTCTCCCACCTAGAGCTAGCTCGATCTTTCTCCTTCGCTCTAGCTCTCTTTCTTTCCCTCGGTCTCTTTTCTCGATGTCTCTCTCGCACCTACTCTCCCTGTCCTCTTCCTCAGTGGTTCTTTCTCTCTCTTTCTGTCACTCTCTCATTCTCTCCCCCACCAAATTGCCCCCCATCTATCTATCATCTATCCATCCATCTACTTATCCATATCCTTATTGTTCTGTTCCGGTCTCTACTAAATCTATCCATCTCTCTCTATATTTATCTATTCATCTTTGTAGCTAATTACTTCCCCCCCCCCCATATCTATTGGACCCTAGAAAATACTTTGTGATTAAAAGCCTCTTAGGAGACTATTTCCCCCAACTTCTTTACTGTGAACTCTACTGGCCCTTCTTTAATGCAACAGTGATTCCAAGATTGCTTCATTTATAACACTGACCATTAAGTTGGTATTTGGAAGCATCAATTGCAATAATCTGGAAGGGTTTTTTTTTGGTGTGTTGTTGTTATTGTTGTTGTTTTTTAAAGCATAAGACACAAATCATAAAACCCTTGTGGCCTCCTTTGGAAATAACTTCTAATGAAGATTGGTTAACAGCCAGCCAGACAATTAGCAATTTGGCATTCACCTGTGCCTTGCATTTTCTTCTTTAAAATGTACTGCAGATGACTTCTAACTTGAATTTATGGATCCTTTTTTGTGGTGTTGGTATAAAAAGTTAATATTGGAATTCTTGCCTGTAGTGCTGTAATAATCACAAGTTCAGGAAGGATGATGCAGCAAATTAGTTAATTGTTTAATGAGACATGCAAATTAATTTGAATATTGGTATTTTTTATCATCTTCAATAAACACTCATGCCTTCATATAGACAGACTATTTTGAGGATGTACAAATATACTTTTAGCCTTATTGTTCTGTCTTTATTATGGACTTAATAAAAGTAACATCATAATTAGGTATACTTATGTTAAGTTCTGCTGTTCCCTTGAAAAATGTTGAAGTAAGAGGTAGTTTGCTTTATACTGCCCAAAGTATGCCTATGATACCATTCCCCCCAAAAAGGGATTTTGTATATGATAGAATATGTACTTTTAAAAAAATATGGAAGAAGGTTAAATACAGCTGTAAAATAGACTTATAGGTAGATTTTGGTAGCAATGATGTATAGTCTAAGGAGGGAAATTGTTACTCATGACTTTAATTTTGATTAAGAAAAACAGGCTTCCCCCTAAAAACTCCTATGAATACTTCTCTGGTCTTTTCTGTACACTCATTCATTGCCTTAAACACATTCTAGGTATCATATTTATCTGTGTATAAGTCTCCTGGCATCCCATTAGATATTAAGATGCTGGAGGGAGGGGATTGTGGGTTGTTTTTTTTAAACATTTTTGTATCCTTATTGCAGTGCTTTGCCTAAAGAGGTGCTTAATGTTTGAAATGAATAAGCTTCTCCCACACTAGTCTCACCCATTAATTTATTTAAAATAAATATTCTCCTTTTAGGGTTTAATTTTATAAACTGATAATCCCATAGAAGCATTATAGAGTTGTTTGAGATTATACATTTTAAACATTTTCCTAATGATGAAGGTGGAAAACTTTTACCTAGTTAATGCTTTTTAGAAAGCAGATTCCTGGGAGAGAGAAAAAGTTATATTTTTTCCATTATAGAACTCTTATCTTGAAGGGATATGACGAAGAAGTGGAACTTGTTCTTTAGTTTGTCTTTAATAACTTTAATGGTTTCATTTACAGTAGACTATTTTATTAGAAGTTTTCAGTCTTCTTTTATTTGTGTAAAAGTGTCCCATGATTTAAATGACAGGCATTTCTTGCCGCTCTAGAGAATAGATATCCAAAGGGAAGATGTTCCAGGGGACAGCATTCCAGACATTAAGCTAAAATCACAGTTTCACATATTGTTGTTTTTTTTGCTAACCTTGAACAACTTCTGTTAATGAACACAAATAGGTGTTTTGGACAGTAATTTTTTTAATAGATTTTATATCCAGTTCTAATATGTGATAATGAATTCCCCCTCCCCCTTTTTTTATTTGTCTGTTATTGCTGTTGATTTCGTCACTTCCTCATCCCAAGACTGTTCGCCATGGATTCCCCTATCAACCCTCAGCCTTGGCATTTGATCCTGTGCAGAAGATCCTGGCAGTTGGAACTCTGACTGGTGCTTTAAGGCTGTATCCTTTCTTTTTAATTTTAAAAATCTGACTTTATTCCATCCAATCTTTCTCTAACTTCTTCTGAGCAGTTGGAGTTGCCTCCTGTTAAATTCAGAAAGTGAGAATCAGTTGAGGGAGAGGGAGGGGTTGTACTAACCTTGGCGATTGGTGTTAGTCGGTATGTTCCTGTGTATTTGCCGATCTGTGTAGCTTGCTCTTTTTGTTTGTAGGTTTACAGTTTTTATATATGAATGCAAGGTTGAGATTGTGTAGTTTGCAACTTTCTTTGAAAAGAGTTAGAAATTTAAGAAGGGAAGTGGAAATAGTTTAGTAGCATCTGCTTATAAAGTTATGGTTTTAACACTTTATATTTTAAACCATTGAAAGAGTTAAGTTTGAAGAATTTTTGTTTATTAAAGGAAATGAATAAAATCTGCAGATTTTCATTAGTTTTATAAATATCATGCATGTTAGTGTAGCAATATGGTATAAGGAGTATTAAGAGAGAGAGACTTAGAGTTCATTTCCCACCTTGGCACTTTCTTAGCTGATCAATTTAAACCTCTCTGAAGTCTACTTTTCTCTAGGAGTGACAGTACCTGCAGTTTTTATCTTACAAGGTGGTTGATTGTGATCAAATGCAGTATATGTAAAATTCTTGCAAATATTAAAGAAATTTGGCTGTTAAATATTAAAATTTAATGCTATCTTAAATGAATTTGAGATTTTAAAATTAGTTAAAATTGATATTCCAGCTCTTGTCAATCGGAAGAGTTATTCAAATGTAATAAATACAGAATGCTGAGGGCTAAATAACAACAACAACAATAACTTTTTTTTTGCCTTTTGGTAAGGCAATCGGGATTAAGTGACTTGTCTAGGGTCACACAGCTAGTAAGTGTCATGTGTCTGAGGTCGAATTAGAACTCAGGTCCTCCTGATTCCAAGTCTGGAGCTTTATCCACTGTGCCACCTAGCTTTCCCAACAATAACTTTGTTTTTAAAAGGTCCTTCTAAGTCCTTGTTATATTCTGTAAAAATTAGTATATGTAAAACATTTAGGTTAGTAAACTGTATTTGAAAGAAAAAAAACTGCCACAGAGGAGAAATATATTGTGTTGTTTCTAGTTCATCCAAAGAAAGAAAAAATATCTTATTTGGTAAAATTTTTCCAAACTCCTTTCTATCTTTTATGAATATTACATTTTATAGAAAATATTATTTCTGTTCAGAATTTCTTCTAGTCTGAGTTATCTAGAAAGATAATTTTCATTTCCAAATATTTGCCTTAGTTATTTGTCTTTATACTGTTATTATACTATGTATTTATTATTAATAACTATAACATTTAAGTAACAACACAAATGTACATGTTGTCAAAATGTAGCTTTAGCTCAAGCTGTACAAATAATAGTAAAATAGCCATTTCCTACCCAATGCTAGGTAAAGTGGTATTAATAGAATGTGAAAAGCCACTAGTCTAAGCAGTTACAATCACCTAGTTAAACAGTTAGTTATTTACTTTTTATTGTTGGGGAGCACTAAACAACAATCAAGATAGAATTTAAATTTCATTTATGGTTAATTTTTACCCTTAAAATGTATCAAATTTTCTTGGACTGTTTTCTGTTACCGCACTGAATATTCACAGCACTATGCTATTTACAGTAACACTGTAGTAGTCAATCCATATCCCTTATAATATAAAGACGTATTTACAATCTCACTATATTATTTAAACAATAGACTTTGTATCTCAATATCAGGGCAAAAGCTACTTTTGCTTGTAATTTTTGAATAATTTAGGATGAAATACTTGGCCTCAACTATCTAAATAGTTTTATATCTGACATTCAAGAATGTTCTTGATGAGGAATGTCATTTGAAATGAAGTAGCAATTGTAATTGTTGTTATATTCTGGCTATTTAAAGCCTGCAGCTTTTTTCTTTTTACTAGAAAATATTTACTAAAGTTTAATTAAGTCAGGTATTTGAAAGGATTTTTTCTGTTTTTTTTTTCTAATGAGCAATTTGTAAGTGAGTGTGTGTGTGTGTATTTGTTTCTTTGAATTAATACTGAATTTTTTCTTGAAAGATTCTTGGCTTTTTTTCCATAGGTAGTTTTGTCCTTTTATTAAAGTGGTATTATTACAAGTGATTGCTACTTATGAAACTGTAGTTACAAAATATCAAATACTGATTATTTGAGTTACAAAGTAATTTCTTCCCAGTACATATGAATATATATACAATTTTCCAAAACAGTACAGTTTCCAATAGCTTAAAACTGCACTAAGCCTTTTGGGACACCCTGTACACATGTTTTAAATATATTAACTGGGACTCTGAGGCTTGGGGATGGGGTGGGAGTGGGGAGAGCAGTGCGGCGGGAACCTAAAGATATAATTCTTACTAAGTGTATGTGAAAAATGAAGATACAGCATTTGTGCAATTATAAGACAATTGGGGAATATTATGAGTTTGTACACTATTTTTACTGGAATATATATAGTATATAGGAGGAGTTATACCATAATTGCTGTTGTTAATTTGTCTGTCCTTTATTGTTGAAGAGGACAATGACATCAGGAAAGCTATGGCATGATTTGCAAGTGAATTTGATTTAAGCGAGGGAGGGCTGTGCAAAGTTACCAGCCTGACTTTCTTCTCCAGAGCCATTTGGATCTAGTGGCTGAACATAGATCAGAACTACTGGAGATGGCCCTGGATATAGTGAGAGATTTTGGCTTTTTTAAGCTAAGGTCTTTCCCAGGTCTAGTTTGTCTGAGGCAATACCCATTCAGTGATTAAGGCTAGGTAAGAAATGAGGCAGAGAATGTCCTCTTTTACCTAGTCAAAAAAAAATGAACCTCAATCTGGGAGGGGAACACTCTCAGGGTTTTTGGCCAAAACAGAAACAATTGCTATTTACATTCACTCTGAGCCATCTGGGCACAAACTGTGACCAAGTGAGGCTTGGTCTGGAACCTGTTGTTGACCTGTCTTTGAGAGCCAGAGAGATTTGCTTTAGGAAACCTCAAGATATCTTGTGAGGTTTCAGTGATCAAAATTTACATTTCTTTGGGCAGAGCACCCCCAGGTAAGGGTATGATATCTTATGTGGACAGAAGGAGAGGAGGGAGGGAGAAAAAAGAGAGGGAGGGAAAGAAAGAAGGAAGGAAGTGGGCTTTAAAGGGCAGAACTTGATAAAAGATTAGGAAAAACTTTTTTAATAGACCTTTTCAAAAGGGAAAAAGACCTTCCATTATAGGTCTTCGGTGTTGTTGAGTATTTTGTAGAAAGGATTTCTTTCCAAGTATAGATTGGACTAGAAGGCCATTGAGATTTTTTTCATCTCTAAAATGCTGAGAGCTAATTGGCTTTAGGTTAAAATATGCCACTAAAGTCCTACTTTGATACTCAAAGCCTTGTGGTGCAGTGGAGAAAGTACCAGTTCTAAAGACCAAGGACACTAGTTCAAGTTCTTCCTCTGCTACTTATTACTTGGACAAGTTGCAACCTTTTTGGACTAATGTTTTCCTAATCCATAAAATGAGTATATTGACCTATATGGCTTCTTAAGTTCTCTTCCAGCTCTAGTTTTATGTACCTATGAGCCTGGAAATACAGTGTCTCTTATTGGAAGAGCTTAGATAAGTTTGAGAGGTCAATCACCAGGATATGAGCTCTTGGATGATTTTATTTTTCTTTAACCACAGCAACTCATGACCACCTACAGCATCATTAGAAGGTGTATCTATACTGATAAAATAATGAACTTTTGAAGTATTGAAGTAGTTTATAAATCTGATTTGTTAAAAAAGATAGGATATGATTTTTTTAGATATGTAAATATAATCATCTTTATTTCTCAATCTCTTATGTAACCTAACTGCTCAATTTTACTGTGTTTATATAGAGCCTTTTATTGAGTGTCTTAAAAGGTTTTATTGTGTGATATTGTGTCCATTTCATAACTGAAGAACAGCTAATGGCATAGCTGGAGCTCTCTAAGAAATCCATCAGCTGTACAAAGATTATACTGTGAAATGTTAGGTTTCTGATTAATGTGTAAAATCATCACATGCTTGCCAAATGAGAATTTTTGATATTTTCTTGACATTACTTTCTCTACATTTTTTTTCCTTCTGCTGGGACTGCTTTCTTGTGATATTTTTTCTTCTAATCGTATTAATCCTACCTGAAAAAAACATTTATTAATTGCCTACTTTGTGCTAGTCACTGGGGATACAAAGAAAAAATGGTCTTTGCCTTTGAACTTATATTGTGTTTGGTGTGATCGGAGTGTGCTGGAGTACAGTCTCATTATAAATATATATGTTTATAAATATGTATATAAATAATATGAGGAGGGAGCAAGCACTAAACTGGAAGTAAGAAAGTGAGGTATTCTAAGATGGTAAAAAGAGGAAGGAATGAATTCTAAGCATGGGGCCTGTGCAAGATATGCTAATGGGGGTGGAATGTAGAGTTTAGAGAATAGCTAGTAGGATTTTATGACTAAAACATGGTTTATGAAGGAAGGAGTAATATGATATCAAAGTAGAAAGATAGTTTGAGGACAATTGGATTGTTTCAAATATTAAATTAAGCAGTTTGTATTTTATCTTAAAGGCAACTGAGTCCCATTCAAGATTTTTGGGCTAGGGTGAGACATGGTGACATCTCTATTTTAGGAATATTAATTTGGCAACTGTGTGGACTGTGGATTGGAGAAGGAAGAGACTTGAGCCAAGACATGAAGATATTTCAGCCAAGCAAGAAATGGTGAGTGCTTAAACTAGATTGTGGTATAAATGGGGAGAAATGGACAGATGTTAAAGATTTAAATTGGTAAGATTTACAAATTTATTAAATAGAGAGATTAAATAGAGAGATAAAAAATGGCTGAGGTTGCTAGCCTGGCTGATTTACTAGGAGGTGGTGATTGTTGTTTGTCCTTTGTTTTCAAAGAGGACCAGTGACATCTCAAGTGATGTCTTGACTCCTAGGTGAAT